GTCCACGTTTGAATTCACAAAAATAACTCTGCTTTCTATCTTCGGCTGGTCGCTCATTCTGAGCTCGGGTGGCCATCCCTTGGAAATTGGAATCCGGCACTATTTTGGTTAGAACACCAAGATAGAAGTTTAATTTTAAAAATTGACCAACACCAAGTTGAAGGAAATTGTGACGCCCTTCGGAATTAAACTTGTTTAATTATGGTAATTATGGTTTATTAGTGTGCCTAAATTGATTTCTTAATTAATCATGAAGTTTTAAATTTATTTTTGGTAATTGGAGTTCCACCCCTCTTTACTTTTATTTGTCTTTCTTTATTATTTCTTTTCCTCATTTTATTTTCCTTTTCTTCCTTTCTTTTCTTTCTTTCTTTCCTTTCCTTTCCTCTCCCGTAACCCTCTCATTCACTCACACTCTCTCTGAGTCTCTCCCTCACCTAGCTTTCTCTCTCTCTCTCTCTCTCTCTCTCTCTCGCCCATCTCTTCCTCTCTCTTTCTTTCAAGTTTTCCCTCTCTCTCAAGAACGTTCTTGAACCGGATTTGAAGAAAAATGGGGATTTCTAAGAGATTTTCAACATCAAAGCTTGGGTTGAGGTAAAACTCTTTGAAACTTACTTTAGATTTTCATATTTAGCTTTGTGGAACTCGTTTTAGTCGAGTTGGTGATTTTTGGTTTAAATTTTGTTTTCGAATGGAATTCGAAAGGGATTTGGTGAAACCTTGATGAAAATTGGGGGCTCTTGATTCTTTGGACCCCATTTGTTGATTTAAAACTGGATCTATACATTTCTCTTGAGAATATGTCGAAATCGGACCCAAAATTTGCAGGTTTTGGCTTTGTTCCTCACGAATCGGCCATTGTTGGCCCTGGAACTTTTCCCTACCGGTTGACCGGTCCGGTTGACCGGTCACCTTTCTATAGGTTGACCGATCCGGTCGACTGGTCACCTCTCCACCGGCTGACCGATGGAGTTACACTCCTCTATCACCGGTCGAACGGTTCCCACTGAAACCGACCCTAAACAGCCCAGAAAACCCTGTTTTGACCCCGAAACTCGATGTGGGATTGACCTAACCTCGTTTGAGAACTCAAAATGAGTGGATTAGCCACATGAATTCTTGTTTTCCATTTGATTCTTCGGAATAAATCTCCATTGTCAAATAATCATGATTTGAATTAAGAATTGTTTATGAACATTGATTTTGAACTATGGCACACTAATATGATACAATTGCATCTAATTAAATGAGAATATTTGGTGAGAAAGATCAAACTCTAAATTGTTGGTTTTGATGGGAAAGATAGTGGCACGATTTGGAATTGGAGCCTTGAAGGCAAGTGGAGCTAGGGCTACGTGAAGACAGCCACAGGTTCGATATCCAACAGGTAGGATATTCTTGTCCATATCCTTGTAAGCCTTACTTTAAATGATATTGGCCAATGAAAATGTTTTAGAACAAAACATGTTTAAAGGAAATGATTTTAAAGAAATAGCATGAGAATGCTATTAAGTTTTCCAATGATTTTGGAAATGAGATTTTAAAGAGTATCATTTCTTAAAATGAAATATTTTAAGGAATGATACAACGCATGGTGGCCACAGAGATCGGGATGTGGGAATCGCATCCTTAGGGGCAGGTCCCGAAACCCGTACGGATCCACTTCTTGTTTAGTGGAATTATGGCTCTGCACTTTTCATAGACGGACATTTTTACCGCTTCTTTTTTAGTGGTATGATGAGCTGCACACTTTGATTATACAGATATTTTCTACTGTGAGTATTTCCTTTCTAATGAGGGATGACCGGTTCCGGGTGTATATCTTCAGACCGTGAGTACCTTTATTTTAAATGTTTTATAAAAATTATATCCTACTGGGCCTTTCGCTCACCTTTCTTGTTTTTAAATGTATTAAACCCCTCCAGGAGACGCGAGGAGTAGTGCGGAGTAGGTAGCTACTACCGGTGGCGTGGACTTGACCTCAGAAAGTGAAGAGTTATCTTCCTCTTATCTTTTATTTCAAGGCATGTATAAAAGATTGTGGATTGTAAACTTATATATTACTAGACTATGGTTGATGTCACATTTACTCATGTTTATATTTATGTATGCTAAACACCTATGGGAATTCCTAACATGATACCAGGGACGTGATTTTAAACTGGTTTGGTTGGAAATTCCACCACCGTTCTTGAAATTGAATCTCTCCTGAATGAAAGGGGCTCGTTTGGAAATACCTGGATGTTTTAGATTTGAAAGAAATTAAAATATTTGCTAATCTCTCTCAAATAGGTTTAAGTTTCTAAACGAGCCTCCACGTCACTAACCCCGGTTTGGGGGCGTGACAGAAATTTTGTTCCAAACAACTTTTGTGAAATATCTTTTTTCTCAAAAACAGTCCTAGACATCAGTTTCGGGCTGATTTCTGAAACTAGTCCAAAATCTGATTTTAGGCCAAATATGCACGGGTTTGGTGCACATTGGTGATATAGGAGATGTTTTGGTCTGAAAACTGTACATGGAAATTGAAGATCTCTTTAAGGATTTTAGACACAACATATGCACTTTAAGAAAATAACATTTACAGAACCATGAATTTGAGTCAAATTGTAATGCTATACTAGTCTTAGAATATAAATTGAACAATCGGGAATTTGTATGAGAGGATCAGTAGGCAATCGAAGTGGTAAAGTTGCTGGTGACTCGAAAGTCACAATTTTAGCGGAACTTCTGTAAGTATAGTAGTTTTCATGTGTCTATATCACGAACAAGCCTATTTCTTTGTGTTGCACAAAAGCATGCATATTGTGAATTCATTGTATGTTATTATGTGCAAGATGTTTCCTGAATCTAATATGTTGCTTTAATTGTGCTTATAGACTTAGATTAGTAGTAGAATTTTAATCTGCAAAATAGACAAAGTCAAAGACAAAGTCAAAGTCAACAAAAGTCAAACATTTGAATAAAATCTAATTTCATAGGAAATTGGTAGGAATGCTTAAAGACATACTAATATGACTAAAATTGCTATCATAATAAGAAAAGATGACACTAAAACGAAAAAATGAAAATTATTATCATAAGAAGAAAAGAAAATGACAGTAAGATGAAAAAATTAAAACTACTATCATAATGTGAGATAATGACAGTAAGATGATATATGAATAAACATGGCAAACAATAAGAAGTTAATAAAACTGTTTGTACCGGCCTTCGCAAGGAAGGTTATTATGAATAAAATCATGGGTGAGTTAGTTTTTGGGTAGCTCCCCTACTCCTCATTGGCTATGTGCGCAACGCTACAACAAGTATGGGGCCCATAAAAAGTAAAAGATACAAGAAACGAACCATACAACAACAAAAGTTGTAAAGAAGAATGAAATGAAAGAAAAGAAAGCAAAACACGATAAATGAAAAGAAGAAAGCATAAAACGACAAATGCTCTTAATGTTTACGTAATGTGTTAGGGCGTGTGACATGAATGCATATATAGGTATGCATTACTATTTGTATTTATTGTTAACTACTGTTACTTGCTGAGCGAAAGCTCATCCTATTTGTTCGTGTTGTAGGAAGCTCAGGTAAGGCACCGGCTCCCTGAAATCTCTTTACTGGGAGTGCAGAAAAGGATGAAGCAGTGGAATGTGAGCAAGTGAGCGATGGACACACCACGGGTTTGAAAACGTTGCAATGTATATAAAGTAAATAATACTTTTGAATGTAAGAATAAGTACGATATGTAATGAAAGTAATGTATACGGGACTACGAGGCTATGCTTAGTAACCTCGAGTCACAAAGTATGATGGTGTACATAAAGTTTCTCTCATGACATCCATTCCTGCAAATCAACTAGTACAACAGGATCTCACCGAAACACACATCAGTGATCCGCTCTGATACTAAGTGTAGGTACCGGTTTGAGTCTTTTAATACTTCATGAGACAATATAAATAAGGCAGAGATGTAAAATAAAAGAACACGAGAGAAACGGCATCACGGTTCAGTCACAACCTACTCCGCAGGGCCACGCCCAGATGATGAACAATCCACTGAGAACACTTTTACAATTCAATTGGACTTAATCTACCCGAGACTCCCTCTCTAAGAAGACGCCTATGAACTTGCAATTTCGCAATGGACTTGAACAGCGAAATCCCCTCGACTTTTTAACGTTGGAATCCCTCCAACTAGGTTTTTCTCTTGAAAACACTCAAATCATCTCCCTGAATACAAGTGCACACACCTATCTCACAACCCAGTAAAACTTAATCAAAAAGTGTAGAAAGACTCGAGAGACTCTTTGAATAAATAAGTAAAAAGTGAACATATTTTATCATGCTTCGTGTCTGTTTCTTTTGCCTTAGCACCAGGCGTTGGCTTCAAGTTTGACTTTTGTTTTAGACTTTTCGAGGTTGTGCTTTTTTTCTTTTTTCTTTTTCATAATTATTGGGCGGGGGTTTGATTATGAGATGAGAGAATTAGGGGTGCCAAAATAATTGAGATGTCCTAATCCTGTTAATATCATTCTTTTAAATTATATGTGTGTGTATATATATATATATATCAAGAAGATAAATCAACCATGGCGTCCATACTTATAAATGCACATTGACTCAACCTGCAACTTCTCAGATGACTTTGTCAAATATAGGAATTCTTCCCTTATATATATATATATATATAGAAATCATATATATATAGAAATCCCCAAGTTGCTCATATTCGTTATAAACGAATCAAGTATTATGGGTCGAACATGACGTGTTATCAAAAGTCTCAACGTTAAAAATGAAAATAATAAGTCCGAATGAAAACTTTGTAAAAATGATTCAATGTTGAGCTTTTTAATTTAGCAATTCTGACTTTGTCTCTTTGTCCCTTGTCAACTTCTGTTTTTTACTGTTCTTTCTAACCAATTCAGTTCCGTACTATAACTCTAGTTTTAAGTCCTTGACAATTCTGAAGAACCAAATACTAAAACAAGGCCCAAAGCTTATCAATGGAAGCTCAACTTTCCACCATTTTGATCTCTTTTGTGCTCTCCCTCCTACCATTGTTGCAATTTTCTTGGGCTGCTCATATTGATGCCATAACTCCCGACCAACAACTCAAAGATGATGGTAACCTTACTACTTTGATTTCCCCGGGCCAAACATTTGAGATAGGCTTCTTCTCTCCCCCCGGAAATTCAAAGAACAGGTACTTGGGAATGTGGTACAAGAGGAAGCCTGAAACAATTGTCTGGATTGCCAACAGAAACACCCCGCTGACCGAGTCAAATGGCGAATTCGCCATTAATGAAGGGAAACTTGTTCTTCTCAATAGCACAAGGAGCGTCATTTGGTCCCCAAATGTATCAAGCAACGTTGCAAATGGTCCGATTGCTCTGCTTTTGGACAGGGGAAATCTGGTGCTTCAAGAGCAAGAAAATGCGAACAGTGACATTTATCTATGGCAAAGCTTTGATTATCCTACTGACACACTCTTAAATGGCATGAAGCTTGGATGGGACTTGAATACTGGCTTCGAACGATACTTGACATCGTGGAAAAGCGCCGATGATCCATCCAGTGGTGATGTTACTTACAGGATGAACATAACCAGTGGGCTGTTTCAAACATCACTTAAGGTGGATATGACTAAAAAATATCGGTCGGGGATATGGAACGGAATTCGATTCAGTGGAGTGAAAGAGCAGCTTGTGCTAACCGTTTTCAATATTGTACATGTATTTGATGAGGATGAGGCATACCTAATGGTTAAGCGTACTGACAACTCTTCGATTTCGCTTGTACAGTTGAATTATTCGGGTTTCTTGCAGCATCTTGTTTTGCTGAATGAAACTTCTAAATGGACTGCTATGTACACATTGCCAACTGATGAACAATGTGATAGTTATGGCTACTGCGGTGCTAATGCAATGTGTACAAGTGGTCAATATCCAGTACTATGCGACTGTTTGAAGGGCTACACACCAAGCTCTGAAGAAGAATGGAGAGGTCTAACTTGGTCCAAGGGATGCATGAGGAAGACGCCATTAGGTTGCGAAAAAGGAGAAGGATTTGCAAAGGTTGCGGCGGTAAAATTGCCAAACTTGTTGGATTTTTCATTTAACAAGAATATGAGCCTTAGAGAATGCAAGGAGGCTTGCTTGAACAACTGTTCTTGTATCGCTTATGCTAATTCTGATATCACGAAAGGGGGCAGTGGCTGCTTGAGGTGGTTTGGTGACTTGATTGATATCAGAGATATGCCGGAGAAAGGTAGCGAACAAGATCTCTATATACGACTCTCTGCCGCAGAAATGAGTAAGTATGGCTTCACTAGATTCTCTCTTTGCAAGGTTGTCATACTGATTACAAACACTTGCAAACAATTATTTAAATTCTTGATATTGCCTTGTCATTTTAGAATCAATCCGTGATGCGAATAAGAAGAAAACACTAAAAGTCATCTTGTCGGCTTCGTTGAGCTCTGGCGCGTTTATTTTTTGTGTTGCATTCTTGGGCATAAGGTGGAAAATGAGAAAAAGGGTAAAAGGTAAACAAGTGTTTCCATCACCACTCACTGTCTGAATATATTTCTGAAAATCAAATGGATTGTATGTCATGGATATTTTACATGTTTAAACTAATAGGTAAAAGCAAGGATGAAGATGTAGACCTGCCTACATTTGATTTGGCTGCAATTGTTGCTGCTACCAACAACTTTTCCCCAGCAAATATTATAGGAGCTGGTGGATTCGGTCCTGTCTATAAGGTTGTATTTTCGTGTACAGATTTAATCCATCCATTGTGTGTCAACTTCTTCACTAGGTTTTAACTCATTAAGTATATATTTCAATGACATCTTGCAGGGGAAACTTTCTACAGGACAAGATATTGCAGTGAAGAGACTGTCAAAGAATTCAGGACAGGGTCTTAAAGAGTTCAAGAATGAAGTCGAATTGATTGTAAAGCTTCAACATAGGAATCTTGTTGCTCTTTTGGGTTGTTGTATTCAAAAAGAAGAAAAGATATTGATCTATGAGTACATGCCAAATAAGAGCTTGGACCATTACATCTTTGGTTGGAACCTCTTTTCAACTTTGCATATTAAATTTTGAAGGCCTTTCCGGCACTTTAATTGAAAATTAACTGATAAGGAGATGTTTAAATTTTTTGCAGATGGCAAAAGATGCACAACACTGCCGTGGCACAAGCACTTCAACATTATCCGAGGCATTGCAAGAGGTCTTCTTTACCTACACCAAGATTCTAAACTTCGGATTGTTCACCGAGATCTCAAAGCGAGTAATATTTTGCTAGACAACAATCTTGACCCTAAGATTTCAGATTTCGGTTTGGCTAGGATTTTCGGTGATGATGATAGAGAAGAGAAAACAAAAAGAATTGTTGGAACATAGTGAGTTATAAAGCATGATCACATTTTTACCTAAACTGATGCTTGTTTCTTATGACTAACGTTTTGATTTATGCAGTGGCTACATATCACCAGAGTACGTAATTGATGGGAAGTTCTCTGTCAAATCAGATGTTTTCAGCTTTGGTGTGGTCATGTTAGAGACCGTTAGCGGTAAAAAGAATAGAAGCTTCAATCACAAAAATCACCAGCATAACCTTTTGGGACATGTAAGAACAACGGATGATAACTTTTTTCAATCCATGTAGTTTTGGCTAATACATGTCTAAGAATTGTATGAATTGTTTCAGGCATGGTTGCTGTGGAATCAAGGCAAAGCCTTGGATCTAATGAACGTGTGTTTCAATGATTCATACGTCGAATCTCAGGTGCTGAGATGCATTCAAGTGGGTTTGTTATGTGTCCAAAAGTTCCCATACGACAGACCAACAATGTCGTCCGTGGTTTTCATGTTGGAAAATGAGGGATCTATCTTGCCTCAACCTAAAGAGCCTGGTTTCTTCATGGAAAGGAGTTCAATGGAAGAGGGCTCCACATCAGAATATTCACGTTCTGAAAATATAGTGACTGTAACGCTTCCGAGTGGTAGATAGATTGATCATGATCATATTATCCTTTAAATGACTTTTTGCTGGAAGATTGATCATATTGTTCGATAGATGGCTCACCCCAAATTGTGGCCGGCAGAGTGTTTTTCTTGCAAGTGGTGGTGGCTCAGTTTCTGCTGCTTTCTTTCCATTAGCCTCCTCTTTGGATGGACCTCAAGTCTCGTGCCAGTCTACTTCAGGATAGTCTCATGTTGATGTTAAGAATTAGGCGGCCTTATTCTATATTACCGAAAAAAATGAAAATTGTGGTATAAAATTAAATAAATAAGTACATGTAAGATATTTAGTGGTTCACATTCAATACGAGCGTGAGGGCTAGCTAAGTTCACTTTCAGCTGTTGTGGGTCTCAATATGAGCATGAGGGCTGGCTACGTTCACTTTCAGCGGCTGTGGGTTATTTATACTATGATGAATAATAAGTTCAAAAGAGAAAATTACACTCTAACTATTTTAATTTAACTCTGCAATTGCCACCCACTTTATATAAGAGAAATTAGGGTGGTGGAACCAATGCCTACATGATGATATAACATTTTTAGAAAAGACGGTTATTTTTGCATCAAGGACGTCTTAATAATATTGTGACTTTTTATATGGAGAGATCGGTGCTCATAACAGAGGACGTTGTAATTAAAATTTCAAGATCGATCATCGTGTTATCCCTGTACAAGACAATAAGGGTAACTGTCACGCCCCCGGGCAGGGGTCGGTGACGTGGAGGCTCGATTATGAGTAATAATCAAAATTCAAAAGTAAAGCATTAAGTAAATTTCAAAACAAGCCTCCGTTTCATTAAAATATATTACAAGGGAGAGACTAAAACTCAAGCCTCTCACACTGTACTAAACTCAGGATCTATCCACAGGATCTTCATTATCATACATACATGACACATATAAATAACATTATAGACATCAATCATAGTCTAGAAGTCTAAATATAGGAGTTTACAGAAGTTACACTTCCTTAAATTTATATATATATCCGGAGGATGAACACAATCCTCACCAACTCCGGTGCTAGCAATCTAACTTAGCCACTCCGCACCGCTTCTCGAATTTTTAAATATTTATAAACAATAAAACGTGAGCGAAAGGCCCAGTAGGATATATTTTGAAATAACTTTATAAATAAATGAATAAATAAATAAGCAAGTAAATAAATAAATGAATAAGTAAATAAAATAAGACATTCAGTTCCAACACAACAGCTAGAACCTCACATCCTTTTTCTCAAAGGAAATATAACTGAAAATCTCCGTATTACAGACATCAGCAAGTAATTTATACTAGGATAAATTACTTACACAACCACGTGCACAAGTCTTATCACCTCCGGGCCGGGTTTCGGGTTCTGTCCCCAAGGATGCACTCTCCACATCCTATCTTGGCCATAAGCCGGTTTACCGATTCGCAAGGTCTCTTATCTTAAGAAATCATTCATTAAACTTTCTGAAATCGTTCCTTATAATACAATGAACTACAACAAGCCATGGTCCCATGAACTACGACATGTCACGGTCCCATGTACTACAACAAGCCATGGGTGCCATGAACTACAACAAGCCATGGGTTTTTAACATTTTTCTTTCGCAAACAAGCCCCTTTTCTTTAAAACATTTGCAAGGACAAAACTCTTTTGAAAATCAGGCTCACAAAGAAAAGGGATAAGGAATCCTACCTCGTAAATATCAAACCTGGCTAGCGTTACTATATTCCGGCTTTCTCTTTCTCAAGCCCCTCAATCCGAGTCCTCAGCTACCACTGATACAAAACCATACTTTAGGATCCAATTCTCAATCCTAAAGCAATTTCAATCTCAATTATACCATTTGATTTCCTATTAGTGTGCCATAATTCAATTACCGATTTCACAAACCATTTCATGTTTCAAATCATCATTCCAAGGGTTTTCAATCTCAAAATATGGATTAAAGATGCTAATCCATTCATTCTAGGTCCCCAAACAAAGATAATTTGGGTTCTCTTCGAAAACCGATGTCAACACAGCATTTTCAGGCAAAACAGGATCAAACCCCGTGTACACCGGTCGACCGGTGACAGACCAGTGCAACACCACCGGTCAACCACCGGTGGTGTGCAATCCGGTCGACTGAACAGGTCGACCGGTGAGGCCAATGCAATCCGGTCAACCGCACAAGTCGACCGGTGAAGAACAGTAGTACGAGAAAACTCACAAAATCAGTTCGAAAACCTACAAATCGAGCCCAAATTAAGATATCTCAAGGGACAACACCTGAATCCGGGTTCTAGGTACTAAATCAAGTTTAAAGAACCCGAGATCCCCAATTTCTACCATGTTTTTAGTCAAAATCCATCAAAATTCGTTTTGAACCAAAATAAGTTTTTAAATCTGAAAACTTGAGATTCAAGAGAGGTTTTTTAGAGATCTTACCTCAAATTCTTCTCTTGATGTTGAAAACTTCTTAAAATTTTTCTTTGGTTCGAGATCCGGTTGATTTTGAAGCAAAACGGGAGAGAGAGAGAGAGAGAAAGCGTGTGTGTGTGAGAGTGAGTTCGAGCGTGAGAGTGAGAGAGAGTGAGTGCGAGAGTGAAGAGAGAGAGTGAGGTGCACGGAAAGGAAAAGAATAAGGAAGAAAAGAAAAGAAAAGGAAGAAGGATACGTGTCACTAACTTAAAAGACAGTCCAAAAAAGGTGCCCATACACACCTCTGGGATAAAATGTAAATACTGAGAATATTTAAATACCTTGGAACTATTTAAATTTACACGTCAGAAACATTTATTAATTAATAATTAATTAATTAAACCAGATTAGGCACACTAATAAATCTTAATTACCTTAATTAAGCTCGTTTAATTCTTCAGGGTGTTACAACTCCACCCCCCTTAAGGAATTTCGTCCTTAAAATTAGGGCTTACCTCAAGGTGCAAACAGATGTGGATATCGCTCCTGCATCGTCGTTTCAAGTTCCTATGTCGCTTCCTCAACTCCATGGTACTGCAATAATACTTTTACTAATGGAATCTCATGATGACGCAAGCTCTTCATCTTACGATCAAGAATCTGAACTGGTGCCTCCTCGTATGTCACGTCATACGTTATCAGAACGTCAAACCATTGTACCACCGCTTCCGGCTCAAGTTGACATTTGCGAAGCATGGAGACATGGAACACGTCATGCACGTGAGATAACTCAGGCGGTAAAGCCAGACGATACGCCATGACACCAACTCGTTGCATGATCGGGAATGGTCTAACAAACCCTGGCGCAAGCTTCCCTTTCACACAAAAATGAATGACTCCTTTGCATGGTGAAACCTTTAACAAAATGAAGTCGCCTTCTTGGAATTCCAAAGGTCTACGCCTTTTGTCAGCATAGCTGTTTTGTCGACTTTAAGCTGTTAACAGTCGTTCCCGAATCACAACTATCTTCTTATTGTTCTCTTGGATAACTTCCAGTCCAGTAGTAGGCCAATCCTCTAGTTTTAGCCAACAAACAGGTGATCTGCACGGTCGACCATAGAGAGCTTCGAACGGTGTCATGCCGATACTGGCCTGATAGCTGTTGTTGTAGGCAAACTCAGCAAGATGAAGATAGTTTCCACCAAAATCCAGAATACAAGCACAAAGCATATCCTTCAGAATCTGAATAACTCTTTCAGATTGCCCATCAGTCTGAGGATGAAATACCGTGCTAAAACTCAATTCTGTTCCCATGGCTTCCTGGAAACTTTTTTAATACCTTGCATTAAAGCGAGTGTCACGGTCGAACGTGATAGACAATGGCACTTCGTGAAGTCTGACGATGTGCTCCCGATACAACTCTACTAAAACCTTCCGAGAATATGTCGCACGGAACGATATGAAGTGTGCAGACTTCGTCAACCTATCCACCACCACCCAGAGGGCATCGTGCTTCTACTTAGTTCTCGGTAGTCCCATCAGAAAATCTATGGTGATATGCTCCCATTTCCATCCCGAAACAGGTAAGAGCTGCAATTCTCCTACAGGTTTCTGATGTTCTACTTTAATCCTGAGACAAGTCACATACTCTGAGACATACTCACGAATGTCTTTCTTCATACCTCTCCACCAGTACTGTCTTTTCATATCCTGGTACATCTTTGTACTTCTCGAATGAATGGCATATCGCGATTTATGGGCATCATGCAAAATTGCCTTCTTGATGTCATCCACCTTAGGAACAGCTAACTGGGTTCTGAAATAAAGTGCTCTATCCTCTCGGATTCTCCAATCCTCAAGCTGTTCTCCATTCTAGATTCGAATCCGGATTCCTTGGAGATGCGAATCTTGCCATTGATTCTGCTTAGCTTGTTGCACAAGGGCCGGTGCGAAAATCAGATTATATACCATTGCCTGGTTATAATCCTCATGGTACTGAAGTTCATATTCGCTCACCACTTTAGTTCTTTTCCAGTCCTCCAAAGCTAATGAAGCCAGAGTTCCCGAAGTCTTCCTACTAAGAGCGTCAACTACCACATTAGCTTTTCCTAGATGATACTGCAGTGTGAAGTCGTAATCTTCTATGTATTCCACCCATCTCTTCTACCTGAGGTTCAGATCTTTCTCAGTAAACAAGTACTTCAGACTCTTATGGTCAGAAAAGACCTGAAACCTTGCTCAATAGAGATAGCATCTCCATATCTTCAGAGTAAATATCATCGCTGCTAATTCCAAGTCATGAGTGGGCTAGTTCCGTTCATGCAGTTTCAGTTGGCAAGATGCATAGGCTACGACACGTCCCCCTTGTAATGACTAAGAAAATTCCAGACTTTAAATAATACAATTTATTTATTTAAGCTAAGGATTTTCCTAGAAAATATTATGTGACTGAAGGATTTATGGAATCAATATATGTATTCCTAAATTCTGTAGCAGATTTCATGTTAAGTTCATGTTTTCGATCAAGTAAATTCGATCGATAAATTCTTGCCGTACTTTAAGGCGGAATAATTTTCAGTACAAGTATAGTTTGAGA